CGGAGGTCGGTCGCGCAATGCCGTTTGTAGCATTGAAATCGGCGTATCATTTTAACGGTGATCGTCCATCATTCGTAAATCCAGTCCGTTCCCGACGTGAAACAAACCCATCATGTGTGAAACATTGTTTTCGGGATATCAAATGGAGTTTAAGGAGATCAAAGAAAAAATGCATAAGTCTTTGACGAAATTACGCAACGCAATTTATCGCGGCTCGATTTGCTACGCGCGATTTGTCTGTGTGTGTGAACCATTAAACCCCCGTTCCTCTCATATCTCCCCCTCTCCCCCCTCGCTCTCGTCATAGCCATTTTTTCCTCATATAATTTCTCTCGGATGAAGCGAACTCTGAGAGCTTTCGCGATCATGCCCCGCGGTCGGTGTGAAAAACTGGGCGAATTTCCACGACGAAAAGGGTTCCATTAATATCTATTAGCGAACCGTGCTCGACATCAGCCGGATTTATACATTCCCCGTTGTTCCCCTCGCCATCCTTCTCCTCGATTTCAAATCCCTTTTTGAATCTCCTATTCAACGGCATATCGTCGAAGAACAGGAAAAAGATACAAGAGAACGAGCGAAGGAAGAAAATCACAGAGAGTTCTGAAATATGAGACGTCATTTGTTTTCATTAATTAACACTAAATTAGAGTGCCAGACACCGAAACTGATACATTTTCTGCTTTATTAATATTCCGATAGCACAATCTCTCCCATTTACTATCAGTTTTCACTTTTGCATAAATATTTTGTCACCTGTTCTATTATGAAGGAGACGAGAGGAATTTCATTGTCTCGCGATGCTGTTCAAGTTTTATTTCTGGGCTTCTGAGCATAGATCGATTGGAAAGGTTTACAAGTTATACTTGGAAGATACGTAACGAAATTTCATCAAAAGTTTTGCAGATTTTTTTAAATTGCAGAACGTTTCAAGTTAGATAAGACAGTCTAATGACGATTTTATTTTTAATTTTACAGACATTATATGTTCTAATTCTATAGATGTATTGGGTAACTTTTTATATAAAATTTTATTTACTGCAAAATGAATTTATCGATATTGTAAATATTACTCAATAAATTTATTGTTAAATTAACTCGCATATTCATCGCAGCGTTAAAAATTTTTTACTTGTGCCTATTTAATTCCTTTTTTTATATCTCGTGTATTTCGTGAACGTTACATAAATATAAAGACGCGATCAAGGTATTTTTATTGGCGTATCTTATTCACCGTTTGAGCTAAAGGGATTGTTTTCGTCGCTTTATTTCAATCCTCTTATCAAAGCGGCTGTGCTTCCAATTTCCCGGGCGCTTTTATGCACTTTGAACGATGCGCTTAATTCACCGAATAAACGCCTCCGCGCTTTTTCTCCCGTACGGCCGCGCGCACGTAATTTGCTCGAAAAAGCGGCCCTGCGACTCATCCCTGTCGAGGCCAAAAAGCAGCGGTGACTTGCGAAGCGTATTCGAATTCAAAGGGTTCGTAATTAATCGACGTGAGCATGTTGTAACAATCGTCGCTGAACTTTCGTCCATCACCCCGAAACGGGTCTTCCGAATTTCTTTTTATGCACGTCCGGCAATGAGATTAAAAGAATAAACGATAGAACGAAGAATAAACATAATAGAAAGCTGAAAAAACATTTGCGCGCACAAGAATAAATGATGTATGTATGTGTATACATCGAAAATCGAATCGAAAATGGTATTAACGTTTCACATTTACTTTTTTATTTCGGTTTATTATACTTTTCACAAGTGATTAGTTTTCGTAACGCATTTATCGTGGTTATCATGGTACAACATAACAGTGGAATATATTGACACTGATGTAAATTTCAATGCACGTTCCAGTAGACAACAAGTAAACGGGTTTGATAATCCTCTTGCGTAGCGTTTGTTGTTATAAATCAAATTAATGTAGAAATTCGTCGGGAAAACGTGAAAACGTTTATTCAGCTGTAAAGTCATAATAGCATCATATCGGAGTGTATCATAAAATAATAAAATCTCAAATAAGCTTCCAGTCAGTTGTTCAATTGATTGAAAGAATATAAAAGCTGCATACGATTTATCATAATCCGAGTGTGCGTTTACAATTAGTTTTATTACACTTTATTTTATGGTAAATCCTATATTGAAACGTTTATTTTATTAACTAAGAATTCTATCAATAGTGAGAGTGACTTGATTTTCTAGAATGACAGTAAGATAGAGAAGTTTACATATGACACAGAAATTACTGAAGAGCCTCTAATTGTGACTAATGCATTCTTAATTGCCTGATTTACATTTTGCACGCTTTAGCGTGCGACTTCTTTTCTTTGTTAACAAAAATTAATTTGGGATTAGCATAGCTCAGCGCAACGTTCACGTACTTAATAACAGCTGCAAGAGCAAAAATACTCGCGTACTGTTACTATTGTGATATATGATACTTGCGTGTAGTTGTACACGATTTATACATATATACGGGACGTTATAACTGACATATATTTTATAATAACATTTTCGTATAAAAATTTCATGAAACAACCATCTTTTATCATATAAGGTTATCTAAATTATTGCAAGTCGATATTTAATTTAGAAGTGACTGGCAATAAAATTAATTGAAATATTTGTTCTCAGATTCAGTAATATTAAAAGAATAGAAAAATAGAAAGTAGAATAATACAGGATTTTATTAAAACCAAGGCTGACATGTCTGTTTTTTTTTTAATAATAAAAATTCCATTGTTTGATGTAATAACTGGAGTCACAATGTATATTAATATATTTTCTCGAAGTCTCGAAAGGATTAAATATCTTGGAAGCCCAGCCCATGTTTTCATTAAGATGCCATAACTTATACTATCAAAATCTTTGATACCGCAGGCGAATGCATTTCCGGATTTCTTCGCGCAGATCTCCCCGACACGGTGCTTTCGCGGTTCCCAATTCTGCGAGTTTGCCTATCATCCGGTTGCATCTCTTAAACTTATTTAAGTTTCACCCATATTTTATCCCAAAGCGGACGATACTTTGAAGAATACGACGAACCACTCTCGCGGTGAAATCTTACCGGCTACAGCGATCGCTATCGTATGGCCCATCCACGCTGAAAATCCACGTAATCTTCGAAAGCGTCTCTCGATTCCGGAAACAATTGCGGGAAAACGATAAGAAGAATGACGTAAAATAAAAGAGGAATTGTGTATTTCGTCAAATCCTACTGTTAGAATCGATCCTCGAATAATCCCGCTTAAGCGTAATTTCGTATACGATGCGAATCCGATTTAATATCGAACGGTAGCTCTTCGCTTACAAGTGCGAAGTGTATAATCGGATATCGTCTCCATAGTTACTACATGGAAAGAACGATTTTGCTGAAGTATTTAAAAATTTAGTTAGATACACATTTGAAAATAATTTTATTGGACCATCAAAGTAATTAAAATAAAAATAATTGTGTAAAACGTTCAAACTGATTACTATAGAATGTCAAAACTTTTTGTAATATTATTATTATTATTATCATGCTTGAACGTTTTATTATCATGTTTGCGTTTTACATAATTATTTTGATGGTCCAATAAAATTATTTTCAAGTCTGTACCTAGCTAAATTTTTAAATATTTCAGCGAAATCACTCGTTCTTTCCATGTATGATCCATTAAAACACTCTTTTCTCTGTCATGATTGTTTTTCGTACATTAACATTATTTCGCGATATTGCGTTTTTTATTTTAATACAATTTTAAATTGTGAAACATCGAGTTAAACATTAAGTTATACATCGAGAAGCGTATTCTAACTTTTTTAAGAATATTAGAAATTTTCTTTATACGAATTCGTGAATATTCCATATTGAACTTTAACCTAGTATTGAATTAAATTCACTAGTTCGAAAATAATTTTTCCGAAGTTGATTTCAAGAAAAATTAAGAACAAAAAAAAGTCATTTTTTCCTTAAAAAAAATATTCTTTTAACGAATTACCCCTTAAGTTATTTAATTATTAATTACGATTTTTTTACAATGACTTCCTAAAGTAAAGTTATGTAAATAAAAACATTTTTTTCAATCTGTCATTGTGTTGTTTCCTCAATTAATACCATAAAGGTTGTTTTGATTGATGGAATTGATGTCTACAAGTTTCATCTTGCAACTTCAGAATGTAACATTTTCCTTGCGTACTAATGAAAGACAGCAGTAAAACGCAGATGATCTGCGATAAAAATTTAGACGAATAAATGATTACATAATATACATGTTCTCATTCCGCAGAATAGGGACGATATTGTTTTCCACGAGCTCCGTATGCGCGTACGTCAGGCTCGGCGCCCAATCGTACTTCCGCTTTATATCG